CGGGCAGGTGCATTACAGCTTTGGGTAATGAGCAGCGCAGCACCCATTACCAACACAGGACAGTAACTAAGAGCCCCCACTGCAGAGTGCTGCTCTGGGGTTTGAACCTGGCCGTGCCTCTGACTGCTGTGTGACCTTGGTCAGGCTTGTTAACCTCTCAGTGCCTGGAATTCCACATCTATATAACAAGGGTGATAAGAGAACCCATGCTGTTGTAGGGTTGTTAGGATTACATGAGTTATAGGAGTCGAACGCTTAGCACAGTGTCTGGCACATAGTAGGAGTCCAATAAACACAAGCTATTCTTCCTGCTTATTTAGTTAGGTAGGCAGAGAACTGGTGGCACGTAAGGCACATTATCACAAACACCACCCTTACCCCGGCGCCTGGCATACAATAGGCAGTCAGTGGGTTTTCACTGAATGAACGAATGAATAAATGGCTAAAGTGGTTGGTAGGCTTTTGTTCAAGGAGAAATTAGAATAGCAAAAAGAAGTAACGCTTAAATGTCACGAGGACTAGCCCAGTAAGCACTTTAGTATTCTATTAACAAGACTGATGTACTACAGACATCCACTGTATATGTTCATAATAACGATTCTTAGGCACTGTATAAATCCTTTTGTGTCTTAGGAATTATCAATGGTTATTTTCAAAGGAGTTTTAAAATTAAGTATATACTACTGCATCCAGATGCTTTAGAAATTGGAAGTCCACGTAGAGCATAAATGGTAACATGAATTAACTGGAAAATCCTGATTGACTGTAACACTGAGTTCACACTTCTGTGCTCACCTGGTGTTATAATCCGTCTACATTCTCTATTTCCAACTAGACTGTGAATGCCTCTAATGCCTAGCACTCTTATATCCACAGCGCCTGGGATATATTCACGGCCAATTAATACTTGCCAGATAAACAGCCACCATGTTCCATAACCCCACCAGATTAAAGTTTTTAGTCCAGCAACATACTCTTTTGGTGTACTTACATTTACAAAAGAGTTAAAAACTCTTATCTTCTTAAGGCCTTTTAAATACAAATTTCAACATTTAAAAATATGGTATACCTTAAGAAATCATTCTTTTTTTAAAAAAAAAAAACAAACTTAAAAAAAAATTTATTTTATTTTTTATTTTTGGCCACGCTGCGCAGCATGCAGGATCTCAGTTCCCCGACCAGGGATCGAACCGGTGCCCCCTGCGGTGGAAGCATGAAGCCCTAACCACTGGACCACCAGGGAATTCCCAAGAAATCATTCTTTAAAACCCTAAAATTTAAGACTAAATGACTTGACAGAATTTAGTTTAAACTGGAAGCTAGAGTATTGAAAAAGTCCTTTTTAACTTAGACGATTTCTAACAAAATCAGATAAAAGCTGTTAATTTTTTGTTTTTTAAATTAAAAAAATTTTAACCATCGATAATTAACCAATTATCAGTAACCAATTATTGATAATTATCAATTAACCACTGATAATTCCTAAGACACAAAAGTATAGTTGCTTTTAATTTTCTTATATTAAACCATTAAAGACTTATACTGCTGGTCTGTCAGATGTTACATCATACTATTGTATAATCAATGGTGCTACCTGCTCAAAGGGAAGGAAGTAGGAAGAAGAAAGGATGAGAGTATGTGAAGAAAACTAATGTTAAAAAGTGACCTCTGCTCCCTCCTCTTACACACTATGAAAATGATATTAGGCTTAGGAACCTGCTCTGGACTCACATAGCAATGAAAACTGAACCAAAAAGATACCCAGCTTACCACCTCCTGGACCGTCACACAAATGCCAGGGAAAATGGCCAATGCATTGGCCATCAGCTAGTGCCCCGTCCTCCTGTCACATTCCACTGCCATCCTGAACTCCTATGCAGGTCTAAGAGTCCACTCTAAAGCTGCATACCCTACCTGGATACTTGAAGTGTAATAGGGATTAAAATGTCAGCAAAAGGAGCTTGACTTTAAAGGAGGGAATGTAATCTTCATCCTGTGGGTAAGGGAGGTTTGGGTGTCTGGATTCAAGCAGGGATGCCAAAGACAATTTGGCTGCCCTTTTTTTTTAGCCCTTTTCCTGGTATGGAGGTAAGACTGGGGGGAGGGAGGCATGTGTGGGCTTCTGGGAAAGTATACTCTGGTATTCACTTTACCCCAAGGGTAGAATTCCCCTAAAGAGGGATCAGTACTCATGATAATTATGTTGGGCAGGAAATGGTTCTATAAAATGGACATTATCTACCTCTTACTTAGCACTAATTCATAACCCGGGAGAGATCTGATTGCATCTGCTGAAGTGTGTCATTACTGAATTGCTGCAATGTGCCTCTCTATGTGTAATACCTGGTCATTACACTACATATCTCTAGATCGTTTACGTAGTTACATGAGCCTGTGTTACTTACATAATTAAGCAAAGCTTTAATAATAAAAAAGAAGCATTTAGTCAATAGCATAAAATATCTGTAAGAGAGAGTGGTTAACAAGTATATTAATAAGGTTAATAAGCACATTAATAAAGTTAATATGTTTATGCTCACCAAGCTAACCGCTTGATGATACTGACGGTGTTTACTGTAGAGCAGAAGGGCATCTAGTGATTAGATCCAAGTATATGTTGAATCATTAGTTTCTTTTCATTTCAGAGACATAGAAATAGATTTTAAACTAGAAAGAACCTGACTATCTCTTAGGCAAGAGTAACTGAACAAATACTGTACATGTCATTTCAATGTCTCTGTATAATACGTGTTCATTTTTAGTTTATAAAGAGGTTATAAAAATAAAATGACAAAACACTATATTACTGATGTAACAGTGTTTATATAAGGTATACTTCTAAATTAAAAAAAAATAATGTCTTAGCACTAATTCTGAGGATTAAATGAGATAATATTTTAGAGCATTTAACACATGGCCAGGCACTGTTTACTCTCATTATCACTAATATGTACCAACAATGATGAAAACAGCTTCAAAGAAAATGTATTCACAGACCATTAGGAACAAATGCAACTCCGCTGAAATCCAGGAGAGCTGCTTCTGTTACAATAGAGCAAAACCTGTTTACTTTTTTAAGATATATCACTTTAGATGTTACTGTGGCAACATGTGATTTCAAAGCTTTCCACTGCCCAGCAACTATAATCTTATTACATTCTGTCAGTTAAAATATCCCCAAAGTGGGTGCACTAGTTGAGTTTAACAATCTCATTTGTTAAATATGGCCTTCCTCTCCTCTTACGATGTGACATCTTACCAGATGTGTATCTCCCTTATCAGCCTTCCTCTCTCTCCATCTCACAGTGGTTATAAGGGTTTAGGATGTTTGGCTGCCAAAACCATGTTTATCAGGGCAAGAGAATCCTGGAATAAAAGAAAAAAGGGAACCCAGGTGGAAGGGAGAGTCTCCTCCATGGCCAATAGCTGTATTTTTGTACTAAATAAGAAAGCAATTTCAAAAAAATTAATCAGGAACGGCACCAGTCAACCACCTAGATTAGCTATCCTACTGAATAGATAACAAGTTGTTGAAGAGACACAAGCAGATACTATCAGGTGTGATGAGGTACAAGGTCAGAAAATACCAAAGCGTAGCTTCAAATGAGACCAAGTTCTGCCCTGGAAACTCTACCAGCAGCCAGCAAGTTCAATCTGGCAGGTGTTGTCACCACAAAAACAAAAGGCAGGGGTAGAGGAGACACAGGTCTGTTTCAGGGCAGTACCATACCTCCAAAAAGACAAGGTTTGGGGGGAAGGTATGTACTATGAACAAAGCGCATGACAGGTGTCCCGAATTCTCAGCTCTATACGGATTTATCACACCATTGTCCATCTGCTTTCTGACACCGAGGCTTAAGTAACTAGGAATTGAAAGGTAACGGGGATACAACATTTGGTTCCTGCGCCACAGCAAGGCAGGATAAGACAATTGGAGGTGGGGGAGGGAATGGGACCACCCTCCTCAATCAATTTCATTTTACAGTGGGAATGCAAGGACAAAATTTTTCTTAATGCAGTGGTACCCAGCCTCAGCATTCTGGTGCTCTGCTGCTAAAAATCAAATAATGCAGGAAAATATTTATCTCAGTGGGTAGATTATTTCCTTGATTTGCTTTAATTACATAACATTAACAAATTTTGGCATTTGCTGCTTCCTGGTTGCAGCAGACAAAATTACAAGTAAAAGAGACGCTTTTCATTGTGTTTAGTTTGCTAAAGCTTCTTTGGTTCTGATGGTCTTGTTCATGGGTATGCTTTTGGATTGCCTAATATATAACATTTTGTACTAGAAAGACTTTAACCATGGACATGTATTGCTTTTATTTATTTATTTTTTTTTGTATTGCTTTTATTTTAAATTAATTAAAGAGAAAGATAAAAGAGCACTTTCATTCCCCAGGGACTGGCATCAACCTTTCTGTCTGCACCTATCAGCCTCACCCCTACAACCCGCATCTAGTCTGTAAACAGCAAGGGTCGGTGCACACCCGCCGAGGGTGCAGGAAAAGCTCGGGGGGCAAAGTCAGTCTTTGAGAAACTTATAATCTGGGTGGGGGATAAATATCTTGAACTGGAAAAGTATTTAATTTCTAATGATTTTATTCTTTTCTTTTTTTTGTGGCCACACCACAGGGCTCGTGGGATCTTAGTTCCCCGACCAGGGATCGAATCTGGGCCCTCAGCAGTGACAGTGCGGAGTCCTAACCACTGGATGGCCAGGGAATTCCCAATTTCTAATTATTTTAAAAGAAGAAAGAAAGAAAGACTAATTGACCATGATTTTTTCCATTTCTCATGTCACTATCGCTAGAAAGAAAGAAAGACTAATTGACCATGATTTTTTCCATTTCTCATGTCACTATCGCTAGGGTAAAATAAGCTAATGGTGAAGACAGCTATCTTAGTACAAACATAAATGCTATCCTTTCATTAATGTGCGTGAACATGAAACACAGACACCTGTTAAAAAAAATAAAGACAGCTTTGTTCTTCGACAATTTCAGACGAAGGAACTCTTTTTAATTCCTTTTGAGAGTTTCTGTAGTTGACTACTTTTTCCCTGCTATGCCATTCGGTTTGGATCTGTATTACCTCAGCTCCTCAGAGAGAAACAAGTACAGGGAGTCCTCATTTAGAAAACATTTCCTAATTTTACATTTTAAAAGTTAATATTTAAAAAGAAAAGCCTTCTTCAACCCCCAACCACATCATGAATAATCTGATTAAGTATATAAATAAATGTGTTCTTTTTCCTCAAAAATCACTTAAGCAACTTGACAAGAATTATTGTTTAAAAAATTTACCTAGAGAAATTAAAGTACCAGTCATATTCCCCCTATAACAGATGGTGCTCAAGGATTTCACGTATCAAGGCCGTTTGCTTAGCGCATCACCCTTTAGTTGTTCTGTTAGCAGGCAGGCTTCGAGTCTTCTTAATCACTCTTTTCTTCTACTTGATAATGTCTGTACTCTGGCTTCAGCTCCCACGTGTTTTTGTGGATCCCTTTTACATTTTGAATACCAATTTCTTTTAAGATTTCCTTCAGGTACGACTGAAAAACAAAAACAAAATAACCTTGACAGATGAGATTATGAATGCAGGAAACAAGATTTAAAATAAAATGATACATCAAACCACACTTTTATTAGTAATAAAAATTATGATCCTGAAAGTTCGACAAGATTTCTCTATAAAGAAGTTCAATAAACTGCTGTTTTGACTCCATGCATACAATACATGAAAACTGCGTTAAATATATGATCATTTGCATTAAAGGGGTTGGAAGTCCTGAACGCCAGCAACCTTGAGAGCTAAAAAAAAAAAAAAACAAAAAAAAAAGAAGAAAAAAAAGTCTAGATGAAAATACACTAGAAAATTTGCTGCCGCTTAATTTATTAGGATTACACAGCACACCAAGTGTGATCTGCCCTTGAGTTCAGTGGCATCACTGAGTTCACAGTCAGATAGGGTTATTCTTGGATTGGAAACAGTTGTTTCAGAAGCAGGAGCATATATTTAAAAAATGACATATATCTTTGGGACATTAATACTCTATGAAACGAGCACATGATAGGTACCCAGAATTCTCAGTTCTAAGGTGAGTTCTCAAACTTGCTATTGGGCCACTTATTTTTCTTCTGGGGGCTGCAGCTTTCTTGTGCTTGGCTCCACCAAAGGAAAGAGGTGAGTGACGATGGAAGGCAGAACACTGCATTATGGTATTTCAGGCACCTGAAAATTCAGTATTACCCAAACGCTTACTACAGTCATGAAAATGATGGCTATGACAAATGTAGTATCAAACCCCACCGTTGCTTGCCAAAGCCCAAGGTGAAAAAGCATTTCACTATAAACTGATCAGTACAAATTACAGTACTTCCTTCTTAGGGAAGACAGAAAAGTTAATCATTTAAAGCGGACTTTTTTTCTCTTTTTTTACTGCAGAACAAACGAACCCAACAATAATTTTTATGTGTATGCTTCAAAGAACCAGTCACAGGTACATTACAGTGACCCATCCCATGGATGGAAGATGTAATATTATGTAAATTTTTAAAATGTACTGAAATGAGGCACTAATTAGAAAAATGGCTGAGAAGCTCTTACCTTGATAATGTTTAAGGCAGTGCCTTTCTCAAGTGTGGTGCTAGACTACCTGCATCAGAACCTCATGGGGAGCCTGTGAGATAAGCCCCAGTTTAGAGATAGCGAATCAAAATCTCTGGGGCTAGGCACGGGACTATGCATTTCACAAGCCCCCAGGAGCCTGATTTAACTACACTAAAATCCTCAGCATCTGCTTAGGGGATTCTTCTGGCTCTAATAGTCTGGCACCTTTGGGTCCTCGAAGTATTACTTAGTTTTCTCAGCCTCACTGTCGCTGAAGAGTATGCGTGAATCAACGTGACCTAACACCACCTTACACAGACTGGTATAATGCTCTACAGCTGATAAAGTACTTCCATTTAGGGCCACCTGTTCAGCACTGGAACTACATACGGGTCCCTCAAACAGCCCTGGATGGCTCAGCTCTCGCTGGAGCAGCCTCCCCATCCCGGCAGCCAGGTCCCAGCAGGTGGCAGCAATGAACCAAAGGAGGCCTGGGTTTCCCCAGGAGAAGGCCTGCTTGCCTCCCACACCTTCTGCAGCTGGCTTCACCGAAGGACCCACCCGTAATGAGTAAGCGAATTACTCAGGTGAGCTTCAGACGGCCAGGTAATGTGCACGCCTGCCATCTGCTACTTTAGATTGCATCGAAAAAAATGGGACACTGTTCGTAAACTACTTTCTAATAAACAGGATTCATAAGTGGAAAATGATGGGTTGGGCTTTGATTTTCAGTTTAGGTGCCATGAATGACTTCTTTGTAAAATTCCAAAGAATGGTTTATTGTGAGAATGGCCAGACCCTGGGCACAAACAATCATGCAACTGTGGATGCACTGTGATGGGTCAAAAATGAACAGAGCAAGCGCCAGGAACATGGTGGCTGCCTGACAGATGCTCTTCACTTCCAGTCTAGCAGGGTCATTTATAATCTGGATACAGAAGATGAAAAGCCTAGAAAGGGTTAAACACAAAATATTAAGAAAGTCTTAAGGGTACAAATTCAGTTGTCTTCATGTATAGCCCATCCTCACTTTATTAAACTATCAATAGTATAATAAGGTTATGGAGTTATTTGTTTTTTATAAAGATGTTGCTCTTTTTTCTTTTCTAGCAATAGGAATGCAATGAGACAGTCACAGTCTGCCAATCTGTCAGGTAACACGATGGGATGAGGGTCGCCATATCTAGCATGGTACAGAAATCTTTTGGGGAGGGAGGGGCAAACTTCTGAAGTTTGAGAATGTTCCAAACTGCAACCTAAGACCATTCTACTATAACTAAATGAATTAACTTGGCACAAAGCATTAGCAGAGAAAGTGGTAGTAATAATAGAGAAAAACAAGGTCAGAAAATCCTTGAAGGAAAGACATAGGTAGAGAACAGTGAGATTATGTCATTTCTCTGTTTCAGAATTTTCTCTGACTTCCCCTTTGGCCTACAGGTTAAATTCCAAATTCTTTCACAGGCATCCACCCAGGTCTGTGTTTGCCCTTTGGCCTCTTTCTCTAATACCTCCCCATACGTGCACTTGCCATTTCTGCGTCTGCATGCTCTTGGATTTTTCCATGTGCCCTACCCTTTCCCTGTAATGCGCATCCCCTTCTCTCAGATCTGAACTCCTCATCCTTTCCGACTCAGCACAAATGTCACTTTCTCAGAGAAACTTTCCCTAATGGTCCTACCTCTCAGATCTACATTTCACACTGTACATACTTCAGGGAGAGCCCTCAACTATATTATAACTGTTTGTGTACATGTCTATCTCTCCCATCAAACCCTGTGCTCCCACTGCAGGGCCCGACTGCACATCAGAGCTGCAGCGCACTGACAGTGAGTGAAATGGGTGTGCTTAAGAGTAAGGAGCTAAGAGGGTTTTGGACGGTGTGGTTGGCTGTGGGGAGATCACTTAGAAGGCCCAAAGGAATAAACCTCTAATTCTAGTTGTTTTCATTTTTCATCTCATTAACATATAGGGCAATGACCCGGTTTGAGAAATAAAAATTGATTAAACTGTATTACCTGAATCTGAATGACATTTACTACTAAAATCTGTATGATACTGCTAAAATATTATTTGAGACAAAGCCAACTGAGGTGGAGATTTTTTTTTTTTTGCGGTACGCGGACCTCTCACTGTTGTGGCCTCTACCATTGTGGAGCACAGGCTCCGGACGCGCAGGCTCAGCGGCCATGGCTCACGGGCCCAGCCGCTCTGCGGCATGTGGGATCTTCCCGGACCGGGGCACGAACCCGGGTCCCCCGCATCGGCAGGCGGACTCTCAACCACTGCACCACCAGGGAAGTCCGAGGTGGAGATTTTAAAGGTTTTAGCAGGGTTAAAGATTAATTGGTAATCTAACTTTCCTTTTAAAAAATGTATACCTTCACACTAATATTTATTCTAGTATCAGGCTGAGTGGCACACAGTCTGCTGTCATCCTCACAGAGTTCACAGTTTAAGATCAGGGTGTTAAATGGGGGAAACAAAGGCATATAAGCAGGCAATCATAAACTAAAACAGAAGCACAGTAATAGGACATAACACGCAGGACATTATGGGAGCACTTGGAAGGGGCACCTAACCCAGCCGGAGTCAAGATGTTAGGTTCTGTGAGGATGTACATTTGATCATTTGAACCGAATGGCAAGTCTCTGCAGGGATCAAGGGAAACTAGTTCTCCTCTTACTAATTCTAAACACTGATTTTGCAATTTAATCTTTTGCCTCATCACTTGTATTTTAAACACCAGATTCCAGAACTGAGTAGGTCACCTTTATGTCACGTAGGATTGGAAAGATTTCTCATTGCCAACTGTGGGCAGTTCTGCAGAACAAGATCTGAAATAATAAATTGGCTCAGGTCCAGCAATTCTTCATCAAAGAGATGTGTGGGAGGGTATTTACAGCAAGCCCGAATGCAGAGAAAAAGGGGATAGAACATTACACCTTCCTTGCAAGGGAAAGGCAAAGCACATACTGGAGCAGAGAGGTCTAGTGAGTAGGATGTGGTGTGCATGTGTGGATCAAGACAAAATGGTGGTGGCCAAAAAGCTGGAAATTCACAGATCAAATTCCTGATCCCCCCCAAGATCAAGACAAACCTGTGTAGAGTCACAGGGCACAGCAGCCTACTATTTTAGCCTCTCTTCTTCTCCCTCCTTACCAGCTTCCACCTCTGCCATTTTTCATACCATCTTTTCCTCTACTGCTCTGCCAGCCAAATGGAAGATTTATCTGCATTTCGTTTTATCGGGCATTTGAGTGTTAAGCATTAACATACATAATGACAGACTAACTATAACTAAATTCCTAGAAGTTGATAAAAAAAACATGTATCTTTGACAGAGAGCTGATCACCAAATAATAATGCTTTAGATAAGCTAAAGATATAACCCTACTAGACTTATCATCACAAAGTCTTCCCAAAAAGGTCGGAATAAATGTGCATCATGTAAATCAATACCAAAGATGGCACTGGTTAACAGTCACCAAAGGGAAACTGCTACCTGAGTTTTATAAAGTGACCCAGGAGGCAAGGGCATTCATGATCAGTTATGTGATAATTTCAAAGTATCACTTCATATTTATGTGATTTTCATGTGACTAACTGTGACTCCTTTAAACAAGGTTAACAGAACAGAGGACTTACTGATGAAGATGTTAGTGGCTCCAAGGCACAAAATTCTTTCATTAAAAAGATAAACAAACTGCACATTATACATAAGCTGTGAACAAAGGCAACCTATGTTTCATTCCTTTAGACAGAGAGAACTGTGAACAGGAGAGGGAAGATGGTACTGAGGGCATCTCTGGAACATGGGCCATCTCAGCACTTTTCTCCTCTTTTCCTTCTGGTTTCACCTCTGTTTTTATACTAGTATCCACCCTGTCCTCCTCTCAGGGTCCCACAGGCTGCATTCCTCCCTTTGTAAAACTCTTAAGA